TTTCTCATTGAAACGTCTTTGAAGGAAAAAACCTGCAGTCAAAGAATACAGTATGATTAGAAAAGGGGTGATGTCTCCTCGTCAGATTTCTCATGTCTTTTCTTTTGGCAGTCCTCCCGAAAGTCTGAAACTTAGGATTTTCACTTGAGAGTTTTCATCTAATGTCAGGAACAGGAAAGTGAAGACGATATTAAATGTCTGCTTTTTTTCTTCAGGGAAAGGGTTTTATTTTCACATACTAATTGAAGTATTCGCCATGTAATGATAATTAAGGCTTTCCGCATTGTTCTTTAATAACGTGACGTCAGTTGCAATCTTTACTGGGCTGCAGACCATCAATTGGACTGGCCCAGGCGCTCAACGAGACGTTCCTCCCTTGTCTGTGAAGACACCGCTCGTCACAGATATTCCTGTCCATTCCAGACTTCCATTCAGCTCTCGCGGGGGAAATCCCACATCATTTGCATGCTGGCTGAGTCCTGCTACCCGCTCGTCCATTTCCGACTTTGCCTTCAGTTTTTTTTTTCCTACAACTTTGAATCCATCAGGATATGAATATTTTCGCAGAATAAGGTCGAAGTGACAAAAATAATTGATTGGGAATCACTTCGCCAAATTAGGCGAATTCCTGAACTTGTGAAGTATTGGAGAGGTCTTTCACTATCCTTGCTGCGACAGGATGGGCACATGGGGTACCAATAATCGAATAAATCATAGGTTGGCCTACGAATCCATGCTGAGAGAGGCTGCGAGAGAATTCATCTGTCGCGGCTGGACGAAACACCGAATACTTTTTTAAAATGATCTACTCCTGTGTTTTCATTTTTGATATTGTTTGCGGGGTCCCCTGTAGCAGTCAGGATGAATATTTTGTTTAAATTAATTCTTGGATTTGGGATATTTGGATTTTGTCCTCAAGACTGACTCAATATCTGGGTTAAGTTCATTCACCTAATGAAGTTCCCCCAACTTCATTAGGTGAATAGGGGAACATTGCATCATTGGAGCTTGGTATGAACCAATAATGGCAACATGACGGGTTCCTGTTTCTGTTTTAACCATCATATGCAAAGTAAAAAAAAGGAAATATATACTGAAAAGGACTTTCTGATTGCAACGGCGTAATGTGTCACCTTCTCCAATTCCAAGGAGGAAACGCCGTGGAACTTCAAATGCGGAACTCCAAGAAGTTCCGCAGCGTACATAGCAAAGTAGAAACGTACAAGGAAAGGTACAAATGTAAGACGTACTTATCTGTGTCCTTCGGGTCAGCATGCGTACCTCAGTACGTACCTTTGTGCGAGCATGGTCCAGACGTACACATGGGTACGTTGCAGACGCAGATGTTCGGGTTCCCAATTCAATACTCAAAATAGGCATAAGATGGCGTTTATGTCCCCCCAAACATTTCAACTCAAGTCAGGACGCACCGGACCTTAGGAGAAGAGTTTTCTTCCTTTCCCTTTATTCATCTCATCATGATACTTACAAAGTAGTATTTGGTAAAAATGGAATTATTATGTTTCAATGGGAATCAATGATTCTGGAACATTTTAAATGCGGGGGTTTTGCACGAGGAAAGCGAAGTGTAGACTGACAGGTTAAGAGTTTTTACAAAGCTATTTTCTATCAATTAACTTGAATGATTGTTAGTTTTTAAAAACAGTCTCCTACTGTCTCCATGATAACTGAAGTTTATGAGATAGCCAGCACGTCCTGTTGCGTCGTGGAGCCATGCCTAGCTGTCACGGTCTTATCTATGACAGTTCGCCAACTGTCAGAGACATGTGGCATGAGACCGGATGATTGTGTCATTAAAGCTCAATTCAAAGCAAATTGAGGTTCATAAGCAGGTGTTTCAAACGCCCTAAAGCCCGAAATGAGGTACATATGGGATCCTAAAGAGAAGACTCCATCCGTACCTTCTGCATAGAGATATGAAGGGTACGCATGTGTACCTTATACCTTCACTGCTGAACCGTTGAAACCTACTGTTGAAAAGGTACCGAAGGTATCTTTTCAACGAACGTATATTACGACGTACGTTTACCTCACAACGTGCAAAATATGTACTTCACTGTATATTTCGGCTTTGCTGTGTACTACCAGAGTCTTTCTAATTTTTCCTACAAGTGATTACATTAAAAAAATGTTCGAAGCTTCCCGGACTTTGCCGAAGAAGCAACCTCACGTCAAGCTAGAAGTGAATTCAAACAGGCTGAAAAAAGCATAACAAATGGCAATGCGTGGAAAGTTTGGCTACTCTCTTACCCATGATTCTCCCACTGCATTTCGATGCAAGCAGTTAGACAGCGATTCCCAGGTTATATAATATATTTGTCTCAGACATTTCGCGTAGGGAAAACAAGAAGGAAAAGTGACAGAAATGAGAAGCGGATAGATTTTTCTACGGTTGACCGTCTTCTTCATGCATCCTGCGTATCAGCCTTCCATGTGAGTTAAGCTTGTCGTGTAAAATCATGTGAATCGAACTTTCAACTTCTGGTCGGTTTGCTTCTTCCCTTCAGTGGCTGTGACAAATTCTAAGCTCTGATGTAAGACTTACTGGAGAGATGAAGTGAGAGAGTCCATCCCTCCGTTGCGAAGAACCTTTAAAGACAACGGAGAATCCACGACTGCACGCAAAAAGCTACCCGTATTATTCTTTCTCACCAGGGCATAGTTCCTATGACTTGGGTTCATCCTCCTGGATTTGCGTAAAGGAATGAACCTGAATGAATGAATGAATGAACATATGTACCTGTAAAGTTTAAAAATCGAAGATAGATATTAAAATGAAGCCTATACCTCTCGTATTCCGCAATTTTGAGAAAGACATCCGAACGTCCGGGTGCAGAGTTACAGTATTCTAAAAATGCATGTTTATAGCATCTTTTTTTTTCTTGTTTCCTGTTAGTCTTTGAACTTTCGACGTATGCGTACATTTTTACATGATTCCTTGAAACTTCAAGGAAAGCGCACCTTGGCAAATGATGCATGATCTGGACTCAACAAGTTTCCACAGGGTCAAGAGGGATCCCACGATTTTTAATGCCTCCCCTCTCCGCTGTCACACTTCGTGATAAGATCAGAGGGATGCGTGAGAGACTTCAGGTCGAGCAGCTACTTTCCAGATTGTGAGATATCAAGTCCAGTGGTTTGGACACATCTGCCTCATGGCCCCTGAGAGACTCCCAAAAAACTTTCTCTGTTCAACACGACCGGCAGGCGACCGGTCGGTAGACCTAGTACAAAGTGGATCGACCGAGAAACTTTTTTTTACGAGAGGCTCCTCGGCATCCCACCTGCTGAGCTCGAGTCCGTTGCCCAGGATCGGGAACATTAGAAGACCCCCCTGGGCCTGCTTGAACCGCAAACCCATTAAGTTGGGATGGGCAGCTAAGAAAATGAATGTATGAATGAATGAACCTCCTCTGTCCCCAAATGCATGACTTTAGCGTCCAGTCCTTTTTCAGACTTTAATACAGACTAATGTCCGCAATAATTCGGGACAGGGTCTATTATCTACGCCACTCAGCATCTTCAGAGCCCCTTCAACAATGACTGTTACGAGAATAGACGTCTCCACTATGGCTGACGTCAAATGAGGATAGTCGATCTCCCAGGTCAGGTTTCTTGGAATACGGAATTACTAGTAATCATTCCACAAGGGTTTCTTTTTTCTTCACTCCCCAGATCCAATTTTCCTCAGCCTATCATTGAACAGTATCTGAGTTAATCCACTTTTTTTTTTTTAGCTGCCCTCAAGAAGGTAATGAACAATGATGTAAATGAAAGGATTTTGATAAGGAAATGACAAAACTACATTAACGGTTGATGGTTTACACGCGTTTGTCAATTTCCTAAGATTTCATGAAAGAAAATAACACTTCTCTTTTGTCCTGAAATAACCATAAACTATAGCAGTGTTTGGCAGGGTCGCTGCTCAACAATCACTACCCTAAGGTTACCCCCGAGTCATCGTGAAATTACATTTGTTGCTTGGAAACAGTGAACCAAGTTACGAAAGTGCTAGGAAGCAGGTGAACGCCATGAATTCCGAACGGTTGAACATTGAATATGGACCTCGAAGTGCCAGGCAAGTGCCACTATCGGAGAAACTGTTGAGAAAGTGAAGGTATTTTTGGTGGAAGATCACAAAATCACGTCGTCCTGGATGGATTCCTATGTGCAATGTCATGAAATATGTTAGCAGCTATTGCAATCTGGGAAGCCGTGATTCTGCGATTCATCCGAGCACCAGTTCACCAAGGCGTCCAAAAACCATTAAGAAGAGATGAAGGCAGGTATTGCTGGATGGGGAGATTTCGGATTGCTTCATTGAATTCATGAAAAGTAAAATACCCATCAGCTTGAAGTGAAAGGTATTGAATGAAAGACATTTTGGATCATTAAGGGAATCGATCATCTGAAGCGTGATAGATTTTCCCTCCTCCATGGAGCAGCAGGACAAGAGGGAACGAAGTTGCATAACACTCAAGTAGGACTTAAGTGGCGGAATGATTACCTTACTCGTAGGGTAGAGAATGCGTGGAATGCATTTGGTAATGATGAAGTGATTGCCCCGTGCCGTCACCGGCTTTAAGGAGAGCTTGGATGGCCTCACAGACCAAATAAAAAATAAGGGGGGAAGGTAGTTGTAAGTACCTAAGCAGTCGGTGGATATGCTTTTACATATGGAGTGGCCCATATAGTTACTTCCAAACATCAAAAAAGATATTAAAATTAAATTGAACTTGTCTCCCATCCGCTATTGTTGGGCATCCGTGTTTGACATGGCGGCGTGCTGCCCTCCCTGTGGCCCATTTGTGGCTTCATCAATATATTTAAAAAATGCCGATGTTTTTGAAGACCAGGACGATTCATCAAGCCATGCCTTCTTGAAAAAATGCAAGGACGCGTTGCTGCATTTGTTGTAAGGGATATTAGGCTCCTTGATGAAATCCTATAGTTGACCCTTGACCATGACGTAGGCCGAGATGACCAAGTTAGTGTTATTTTATGAAGGCTAATGGTGATATCCGGAGCAACCCATGACTTTCCTGTAGCGTTCCATGCTAAGTTATTTTCGAACCCCACGGGGGCCTAATAATGAGAAACTTAAAATTAAATGGAGTGTGTGGCCTGGCACTGAACCTCTAACGTTCTGTGCTGTCTATATTGTAAGACATTAGGCTACCAGCTCTCGCTCTCCGAGGCAAGCAGTAAGAATATGAAGGGAAAAGCCAATGTCATTCAGCACTAGGTATGTCCACTTTCTTCATATAATTATTCATGATTTGTGTTAGTGTTTGACAATTTGCCTCAAGATGGAGTTAATTAGGCCCAAAAGTAAAAGTTCTGCTGAAAGTGACCCCTACATGCCTCCATTATAGCCTGCAAAGATTGCAATTTTTTTTTAGGGTTGTCAAGTCCATTACATTTAAGCAACCTATTACTTGTAAAATAGTTAATTGTTAAATTTATTGAAACTAATGCCTTTTAATCAGCTCTCAAGTTGCTCTCTGCAAGTCACTTTTTATATTCAAATTTTATTACATAGTTCACTGTCATGCCAGAGAGTGAAGCATGAATGTATTGCAATTTGAATATAATGAAATAATGAATTGCTGAAAGCAGTAATTTTTGCACTGGCCAAGTATAGAAAACAAAGGTAAGTATGTTTTCTTATAAAGGCTAATACTTGTTCTTAGAGGGCAGTACTGTAGGGTGACCAGATTTTTTCATGAAAAACTGGGACATCTTCAAGCTTATGTAGGTTTATTAATCACTCCAATGGGAAAAAACCAAGATAGAGCCTAAAAAATGGGACAGTTTGGTAAAACTGGGATGTTTGGTCTCCCTATAATACTGTCATAAATAATAATGAAGCAAACCTGTAGAGGAGAAAAAAAAGGAAGCATTTATTCTACTCTAGCCATGAAAGAAACTTGGGGCATGACTGAAATTTGATTGATTACTTCTAGTAATACTTCCAGTCCTGATGATTTGAATGTGCCATAGACTGTGGATGTCATGTGATGGGGAGAGCTTAAAGTGCTACCAGATTGACACCCATACTACATTTAAGTAAGTAGAGAACTTCATCCCTTTTTATGTTTTAACTTCTGCTGAGTATAATGTCTGCATCTCCCTTGACAAGTGAATGCAATTACAGAAGTTAACTATGACTAACATCGCTACACCATCTATTAAAGATAACTTTTTATCATTTGAATCAATCATTAGATGTTAATTAAGTCTTGATGAAGTTATTTTTCCCTTTTTGTTCTCCATTCCTTGTCTAACCTGTTCTGCTTTCCATTGTCTTAGAACCTCATCCCACCCTTCCACCTGTCAAATTTGGCTTTGAAAAACCACTCATGAATGGTTTGAAACGAAGGGTTTTACTAAGGCATGGAAAGCTGAGTGGGTTAGATAGGGGAAGGTGAATGAGGAGGAAGCAAAAAAAATTTAATATTCCATAAACATCCAATTAAAACAGTAGTTTCACATGATCAATAGTTAAACAGAAACAGTAGTTAAGCATGATCTGTCGAAATAGAAATAAATAACTCCTTGAATCTTTGCTTGCCCATCAGGTCACCAAATACTTAACCTTTTACCTGGTGAATGTTCCAAGTTATAGGAAGCAAAGGTAAGTGCTATGGGACAAGTGAACAATATATTGAGCACTGCCCATGACAGTGCAAATATTGGCCAAATCCCATTTGAAAAGAAAAGAATCAATATTTAGGCTTTTATTAGCATCACTTGTTGCATTCATTCAGGAGCAGTGTCCACTTGAGTGAGTCATTCTGCAGGTTGCTGAGGTATAAGGACAATCCTTTAAAGGTTAAGGCCCAAATGCTGAAACTTCCTTTAGTTAATGGTCCTTTAGGAATCCATGAATACTTATGGGAGAAAAAGAGGTCTCTAACTTTACAGACCCCTCATCTTGTCCAGATGAGATTTGTGCATTCAGACCTAAACCTCTAAGTTTAGAAATAACTTATTTTTAGAAAGTTGTCTTGAGTAGATAGTTTGGTGATTTTAGCCATTGCAGACCTTTGATGTACTGTCTTACCTTTTTACTACAGGGACCATTTTGTCCTATTTCTCACTTGGGACCAAAATGTCCGGGACCATGATGTTCTGAATTTGTACAGGATATCTCATAATTCTAGTGAAATTCTGATATCATAATAACACAGACAGTTTTTTTTTTAGAGTTAGTTACAAAATACTTTTAGAGAATGGAAAGTTAGGATGGATGGCACCATGACCTGATGCTTTCACTGCCTAGCAGTAGACATCAATATGATCAGATAGATATCTATCTGAATGGAGGTGAAATGTTGCTGAAAATTCTGGACACCCTGCATATTTGGTCTAGACAGTCCAGGCCTGACCTTAGGCCTAGGTATAAATCTGGCATTCAAAGCCTAACATCAAGCTTAATTTTAAACTGGGCTTACTTGTGGTTGTGTACATATAGGTCTGTCATAGATTTAGAATGTTGTTTCTTATTGAGCAGATGAAAAGTGTCATGTGCTGTTTGATTTGAAGTGTCAAGGCCATGGCTCCCTTGTAGTAGGTGAGGATAGAAAATCTGGTTATAACAGACATATCACAAGCAGATAACTGGCCTCTGGTGCTATTGTTTCTGAAGACAATTTTGTGCTTCTATCTCTGCATGATGATGCCAAGATGGATTCATCAAGCAGCTCCACTGCTAACAACATCATCAAAAACTTGAATTCCAGGAATTCAAAGATAGTTGCATTTGTTTTAGTGGTTGGGTTTGTCATCTACCACAGTATTATACATGGTACATTTGGTGAGTTTCCCATTCTCCCATAATTAAAATAAGTTTCTGATTGTACTTCTGAAGTGGCAGTATATATTGGTGCAGTGTTTTTCTGTACAGTTTGTTTTTTTCTTCACTTTGATACCCATTGGTTGATTTTGACAAGTATGTGCCAGAGTATCTGTAAAAGTAAAATTATCTGTAAAAGGTTCATGTGAACAAACTTCTGCAGCATTTGAGAGTCAGTGATTTTCAAACACTTGTAATACAGGGTGTCCCAAAAGGTATGGAAACATTTCAAAAATTAATATCTCACTAAATTATGCCTCAAATAAAATTATGAAAACAGTAAAATGAAGTGCAACTAAAACAATTTTCAACCTGTTGTTGCATTTCCACATGGGCACTATTTGTGGCTCTGTAGAAGTCCAAACGATGTTCAAGCTCTTACCACAACTTACCCAGAGTGTCATGTATAATTGTCTGGATAGCTGCATCAATTCTGTTCTTCAGATCAGATTGAAGATTGAAAAGTTGACAATGTCCTTGACATAGCCCCATAATAGTAAAAAATCCAAAAGGGTTGGGTTCAGGCACAATAAAAGTCTAATTTTCTAAGATGTTGCAACTCCACATTTTAGCAAGCTAAGGCATGGAAAATAAAACAGATCTGTGGATTGGACAAAGCAGGTTTATTCTATGGCCACCAAGATCACCTGAACTAACCCTAGAGGACTTTTTCCTGTGGGCTATGTCAAGGACATCTTTTACTGGAGAAAAGTAGACAATTGATCAGGATCCGAAGAACAGAATCATCCATACTGTCCTGATAGTTATGCCTAACACTCCGCAAAAGGTGTGGTAAGAGCTCGAACATCGCTTAGACATCTATAGAATCACAAATGGTGCCCTTGTGGAATTGCTATAGCTGGTTGAAAAATGTTTGAGTTGCACTTCATTTGATTGTTTTAATCATTTTATTTGAGGTATAATTAAGAGAGAGAGAATTTTTTTAATGTTTCCATACCTTTTGGGGACACCCTGTAGATTTAAAAATTGAAACTGAAGGTCCCTTTGTCTATCTGACAGAATTACTTGAGGTTCATCTAAAGAAGAGTTTCGTGTGGACTGACCCCTGTCTAGCATTTTCTATTTCAGTTCAGTGAGTTTAATTCTCCTCTTCCCATGCCAGGGATTGACTCATGCAAATGGCTGCTGTCAGATGGAAGATTCCAAGGAGATAAAATATGGCAACCCTATGGTTGTATGATGCATACCTACTCTACTTCGTTAGTTCTCATCTTTATTATTCCAAAGTGATAGTAGTTATTTTTTGTGTGGGTTTTCATTGATCTTTGTTTAACTAGGGATACAAGAATGTGTCTACGTTATGTGGGTTTTTGGAGAGAAAGTACCCAAATGGCATTTGTTGGAGATTCTCGGATCAGGCAGGTTTACCTTGCCCTCATCAGTCACATCAGTGGGCAAGAAGAAGTTTTGCCTGAGCAAAAGAAGCATGCTGACACTTTTTATGAAAACCATGATATGCAAGTCCGTGTAGATTTCAAGTGGCAAGCCAATCCTGACTTTAAGATGCTTGAAGTACTCCAGAAATGGAAGGTAAGTATTGACTTGGTTAGGCCTTTATGAAATATCAAAAAGTACCAGTGGATCATGTACAAACAGGTTTTGGATATCAAACAATACAGAAATGAAGCATCTGAATCCTCTATATGAAAGAATATTGCTCAGTTCTTTGGAAGTCTTAAAGTTCAGATACTAGTATATGGACCCCACTGTTCTCCAAGTGCATGTTACATCCTGCTATATCCAGATAAGTACCTTCTGGGATTTGAGAGTAGTAAAATTCTGTTTGTCTATTTTTCTTTCAGGAAGCTGATAATGCTCCTCGCATAATAGTCCTTGGTTCTGCAACCTGGGCAATCAAGATCTCAAATGGAAGCCTTGACTCATTGGAAGAATACAAGAATAATTTGTCCATTATTGCAAATGTGAGCACATGCCAATTTAAATTTTATTTCAATTAATTGAAATGTCTCTTTTCCAAGGTATTATTGAAGAGATTTGCATAATTGGCATGGACTGTATCATATGTTTTTCACAGTTTTTGGAATTTGTATGTAGACTGTCCCGAATTAATGTTCCCAATCTGTTTGTAGGCAATGAGTATTCTTGGAGCTAATGGTAAGAGAATAATATGGATGCTCCAGGATCCTGTCATTGAAGAGGACCTTGATCCAGCTCGTAAAATGATTACAAATGAACAAATTGATCTATATAACAAAGGTGCTTTGGAGGTGAGATTCTTGTTGGTGTTTGTAGTTCTCCCTTCATTTTTTAAGTGAATGCATGGAAAGTGAAATTTTTTTGCTCTATCTAAGGTCTTGGAGAAGCATAAGCATATATTTGTGTGGTCCAGTAGTCGATTAATAACTCAAGGACTGATGGCATCAACTCAAGCAGAAAAAAGTGATGGATTGCATCTCTCACCTCTTGCCCTCAAGCATGACACACAGGTGAATCATTGAAAGTCTTGGTATTACTATAGTGAGATGAACAGTGTCACAAACTCTTCATTAAAGTGCTACATTGTCCACAGTGTCAGTGTCTCCTTGGCAATCTAGTGTTTCATGCCCTTGTGCTTTTCTTTTTAGATCTTGTTGAATCTGTATTGCAATGACAGGATGAACTATCATGATGGGACATGCTGCAGCAGTGCTGAACCTGTTACAACACTTCAAAAACTGACTCTTTTCACACTAATTGCATTGTGAGCTACTCTTGCTATTTTCCTTTCAACTGCAACTGAAGTCATTATATCAAGTCTCATTTCATCATTTTAGTCTTGCTCTTGCTGTCATACTATTCCTCGTCAAGCAATACACACTGCTGAAGGGTACACGTCGACATTATAGTATTTTGCCTAAGACAACAACCAATGGAGATCTTGTGCAAGGAAGAGCTGAGTTATCCAATTTCACATCAACTTTTGAGCACTACTTCCCTCTCTTCTTCTCTCTTGGGAAAGCTGGGGTCATTATGGCTTACTGTTTCTTGTGTGACAGGTGAGAATTTCTTCATGAGACTGTATTTTTTTGTTACTTTCATATTCATGATGGTTGTTTCATCCTCTTTCTCTCTAGAACTAATTTTTTTATGAAGGACAACAAGGCCTATGTAGGGTTGAACTTCTGGCTTCCTATTGGCTATCTCTTTGTTGTTGGCATCTTCTTCACAGAAGAGTCCAAGTTCACACGCATTCTTCATCGAGACCAGACAGACGAGTGGAAAGGTACCAGTACTATTTCTTTTGATTGAATGCTGTACTTCATCTTATGCTAGTTCCTTCTGGTGCATTGGTTGACACTTATTTTTCTGCAGGATGGATGCAACTTGTAATCCTTGTATACCATGTCACTGGAGCCAGCAAAGTGATTCCAATCTACATGCATATTCGGATTATTGTCTCTGCATACCTCTTCCTATCTGGATATGGTCATTTCACATACTTCTGGCTGAAGGGCGACTGTAGTTTTATCCGTTTCTGCAAGGTGATGTTTCGTACAGCTTTTCTTAAATGAAATCCTATTAGAGTTATTTTCTGTCTACATTTTGATTCCCCCTCTCCATGACTGTAATGCTTTCAGTGAAGCATGGTTTACTCATGTAGAGAAACAAGGCAAGCAAGTTGGTAAATGCATGAATTTCCTCCCTTGATTCCATCCTCCTCTCCTTGTCCTGCCCCCTATTGCATGAGTGAGCTGATTTGATGTAGAAAAGTATGTCCTTAATCCATATTTCTCATTAGAATAATGCATCATATATTAGTTGCTGTGAATCTCTATCCATGAATTTGTTTTCTTCACTCTAGGTCATGTTCCGTATGAACTTTCTGGTGGTCGTACTTTGTCTAACCATGAACAGGCCATATCAATTCTACTATTTTGTCCCTCTCATCTCCTTCTGGTATCTGGTCATATATGTCTTTCTTGTCATTCCACCTCAGGTGAGTATAATTCTAATCCTATTTGTGGAATAATGTATGCTTATACCATGCAAAATAGTGCTAGCAAGTTTTTCTTTCATGCATAGGTGACAGCAGCTGGCTCAGAGAGTAACCCCCTGCATTACCTTTATCTTATTTTGAAATTTGTTGGACTCTTTTCATTCAGCACTGTCCTCTACATGTCTGAGGTGAGATTACTGTTCTACTCTCTTGCAATGCAGTAAATTCAGAGTTAAATTAAATGTTCTTGATGTTCATGACATTCTCTGGGTTCTTATGATTTGAGTAATTACCCAAAGAATATTAAACTTGCAAATGGTATTTTTCAGGTGTTTTTTGAGCGCGTGTTTGTTACTCGTCCCTGGAAGGCTCTGTTTGTGACAACAGATGATGATATTCATGAGTGGTGGTTTCGGTGGAAGCTGGATCGCTACAGGTAAGTGTAAGGCTTGTTTCTAGTTTTAGTCTTATTGCTATGAATTGGAGCCATCTTTGCTTTCATGTTGCATTTGCCTTCCAGCATTGCCTTTGGGATGGTATATGCATTTGCCTATCAGATGGCTCAACGACACAATTTTCTGGATGATGGGAATCACAGCAATTTATGGTCAAGAGGTGTAGCCTTGACTGTCACCTTTTTATCCATCATTGGTCTTGGTGGATTCTCAACTTTTACTCTCTTATGCCAATCCAAGCCAGAGTGCAATGAAATTCATTCTTACATTGTCTTCATACCTGTAAGTTGCTGATTTTTTCCATATGCTCATTAAGTGTATATAGAGATGGTTAAGTTGAGTTTGTAGACTTGAGCAATTGAAGTCTTGATGTTTTTGGTTTTTGCATGTACAGATTGTGGCCTTTCTTCTTCTGAGGAACATTTCTGGTGTTCTTCGGACTCAGTACTCCCGGTTTTTTGCCTGGTTTGGTCAGATCTCCTTGGAACTCTTTGTGATTCAGTATCATATATGGTTAGCAGCTGACACTTACGGAGTGCTTGTGCTTCTACCAGGCTTCCCAGTTGCCAACATTCTTCTGACTTCATTCTTATTTGTATGTGCTGCTCATGAGATGCACTCTATCACCAATGCCCTGGTTCCCTATGTGGTGCCTGAGGACTGGAAATACACGCTTCGCAATGTCCTCATTTTTATTCTCATTCTCATTCCCATTGGCATTCATGATGGAATGTTCTAGTCCCTTGTGAAGATGTTTCCTTTTCTCAGTACAAGCTCCAGGAATGACATTAAGTCACTCCTTGAAGTCAACATTGATCTGTGATGTCTTTGAGTGTGCATAATGCCATGAGTGCATCCTTTTTTCTATTAAGTCTTTTCATTTTGTGATGTTTATGTTCTAGATTTTTTGTGTTTTTCAAGTCACCACTTTTCCCAGATTAGCATGAGAGGAGCAGGAAACATGCCTTCTTGGAAAAGCCTGATTCCAATTCCCTTCACGATGTACTGCTAGGTTTTTTTCTTTCTTTCTCCAAAAGTCAACATGGCTTGATAATGCTTTTTTTTTCCTAGCAGAAGGATGAATTAGTCACATCATGGCCATATGAACAGGTTGTCTTTCATTGAACTAGAGTGCAAGTTCCATTGGTTTTTTGGTGGGATCCAGCAGCTTGGAGGATCAAATTGTTAGTAACTAAACTGTCCACTTCTTTAACCTGATTAGACATATAGGAAATCATGACTGATTTTTGCATGTGTTCTTGCAGGCATTTGCTTTATAATTCCATGGCATGTATTCAAGTATTCAGTCAAGGTATATTGTTTCTGATGGTGTTACAATGCAAACTACATCTTGTTGCAAGGTTTAAAATAATCCCTTCTCATTAACTGTCTCGAAGTATCAAACTGTGTTGGAAGTAAAAGGTGTAATAATTTGAAACAGTGATGTTGAAGTATAAAATCTCTGTGTATGGTTATATTGTCCTTTGAAAAGTCAAAGTGTAAACCTATGTCCCTTTTCCCATTCAGTTCTGGAACTATGCATTTCTGTCTGCTGCTTCTCATAATTATTGAAGACCACCATTGAAACATTATTGCCAGTTGCTTGAAGTAGAATCTGACTCTAATATGTGCAACCATTAGCATATCTACTTGCACCAGACTACAGCAAAGTTCATGATTCATTCTCGTGACTTGATTGCTCGCAATGATTTGTGTCATGGTCACAGAGGTGTGGATGTGGCTTGAGTAAGACCTTATTCTTATTAGGACATAATAACTCTTAAGTTCTTTTTGGACAGCTTCTGTAGGCCTTTGCTCCCGTACATGAAATGAGCTTTTGCATTCAGGCTGGTTGTGGACCTCCATTTTGCTTAATTGTGTGATAAGAACTTCATAAACAGCAGTGGTATCTTTTTGTCACAGTGCTACAGTGTTATTGACCATGTAAAATTATTATTATGAATGATAGGTATGTTTCAAGTGCACCCTCCTTTACACAGATCTTCATGTTGTATTGTTGGATGCTCTGAGAGGTGTGAAACAGAATCCTTCACCAACTCAAAACCAAAAACACCAATGTATCACCTGAGTATGAGTGATGCAGTTTAACATACTACACATTACTTAATTTGCCAGTGCATTTTTGTTCAGCATTTCTCCAGCCCTATCTTATTTAGCAGAAGACATTCCATAAACTTATTTACAAACTGCAAAATGACATGTATCAGCGATTTTTGAGAAACCACAAGTAAATGCCATGTGGACATTGTATGACATGATGTGCAGGCCTTCAAAATTGCTTTCCTGGTATGGTAAAGCATTTTGGAGCCTGCAGTGATTGGATTGCAGTTCTGCACAAAACCTTATTCTGTGGCTTGTACAGCCTATAGGCCATTCTTGGAAAGCCAGATGAATTCAGTTATGTAGGATTTTATTATATATACCTTGCTAAGAATAGTGTTTTGTTCGATCTCCATGCTGTCTCACCTGTGGTGGAAATCCCTGAAATAGACCCATTTTTGCCATGGAAAAAGTATATTGATTTTTTTTCCCACCTTAAGCTTATTTGCAAACATTCTGTCATAGATGGTTATTCTCTGACTATTCTCACAAGAGTACTTCCCCAGAACCCTTTACTTCTCTCTGACATTGCTTAGTTTAATAGCCTGCATGAAGTCAGTGTTATTGAGGGGTAGAGAAGAGAATTAGGAAGAAATACAGAATTTATAAGAACTTGAGATGATTTCCAGCTGGATCCTCTCCATGCAAGTGTTTTTCTTCTCTAGCTGGCATAGTTTCCAAGACATCCACATCCCTATCCTTGTCACTCATTCCATTCCCCATTCCCAGGCCTTGCCTCGCCTGAGCTCAGCCTGGGATCTCAGCCAAGTCCCATCTCCCTCACCCGCCCTTGCCTTACCTGTCTGCTTATTTCCTCCCTCCCTCCCTTCTTCCCTCTTCTCATCGTAGAACCACCTAACCTCCCATCTTCATTTTGAGCTGTCATTTCTTGCTTATGCCTGATTGTATGTTATCAAATAACTATAAGGAGGAGCAGTGAAAGAATAGAGCGACTTCTATTTCGATGAACCAACATAAATTGTCCTCTTGCGCGCCACCTCTAACAGGGTGAGCAAGGAATAACCTTGTTTTTGAGAGCGATTCTAATCAAGTTTGAGTCTGGCACAGTTCAGTGATAAAGCCACTCGGATGCCTTTAAGTAGGCTGAGGTTCGATCTCAGCCGGTGACCCTCTGTGCCGTGATTGAACAGACCTACGTACTCGGCGCGTTCTGTTACTGAGCTATGTTGGTAGCGGTGAAGCGGAACTGCTTCGTATATCACGGATGTCGTTCACTTACTAATGTACCCCAAGGACTGACCAACATCTACTGGCCGCTTCATTATCCAAATGAAGAAGCCATGCAGGGAGCATGGTGCGATGGATTGCTCGATTACCCCGTTTCGCCAACGAAATCGTTCAGTACCGAAAAGTGACAATAACTATGTCGTTGATTGCCTGTTCCGATTGCCTCAGATGACACCAACTCGTGTGAAGGTTATGCGCATGAAATGGTTTTTTTTTTTGCCTCATGATCCCAGAGCCCTTTCAGGACACGATTTTATCCAAGCTCGACAAGGAAATGAAACTTTGCTGAAAGTAAAAGTTCACATTCTGGGTGGATGCCCTCATTGGATCACATGTATTGCACAATCCTTCCGACCCTATCATGTTTCGTCCCAAGCCGTCGTTGATTGAAGGATAGCTTGTTCGTAATTCGAATCGAGTGATCGTTCCCACGTTTTGCAGTCGATGTCTGTGACCCTAGCCTATGAGTAATCGAGGCATTGTAAGCACTAGGCAGATACTGCGTGCAAACTGGCCTAAGAGCTATTCTCAAGTGGAGGATTAAATGTGTTCCTGTCTTACAGCAAATGTAATGAAAAGTCAGCGATCACTCATAAGACGCGCCCCTGCAGCCCGTTTCTCATCCGAGTGGGCGTTGGCAGAAATTGGCAATGTACAGGTATATACAGGGTGGCCAAAAGAAATATAGTTTGAAACTATATATGCCTAAAGACGAAGCACCGTATGCGATATCAGCAGGAAATTTAAAGGGTATCACGTCCAACATGAGTAGGTGATCCCACGCCTGCTGTCGAGTAACGGTTTTTTTTTTCCGTGCGATGCCAAATTCGAAGGTGTAGAAACCCCAGATGCTTGCTACGCGCGACATGGGACTTGTCCTACACCTCACAACTGAGCAGGCAGACGCAGACACGCTCATTTGACATTGCCCAGTAAAAAAAGTTGTCGCGAGGGTTCTGAGTAATCAGTCTCATCGAAATTCTCGGAAATCCACTTAAACATGTTGGATAAGACACCCCCCTGTAAATTTTCTACCGGTGTCTTGTATAATGTTCCGTCCGCAGCCAAGTAAAGTTGGAAATTGTTTTGGCTCGCTTGATATCACATCCAATTTGTGTGGAAGGTTTTCCGAAATGTTCAAAATTGATCTTTCCAGGCCTGATTAGCGCTGTTGTTGTCAAAGAGCGAGTATCTACTGTGTCTGCATGCTCAGCTGGACTTGAGTAAGCCAAGTGTGATCGTGCGTGGGGCAAGCATGCTTGCATCCACGGTTCGCCCACTCACATCGCTAATTTGACATCGCGCGGAAAAGAAGCTAGTGCTCGAGTTCTAAAGAACCATATTTTTTATTTTCTGAAAACTATACATGTATGGAATGTGACACTCGATAAGTTTCCTCCCGGTACCTTTTTATGGTATTTCGTCTGCACGCATGGTACAATGGGGAACTTTATTGGGCCGTTCAGGTATGTGAATTTTTTGAAGGAGCATCGGAACAGATATCGTTATTTTGTGGCACTCATTGATTATTGCATTCGTCAGAAGAGCACTCAGTGATGCTGCTGTTACGTTAAAGGTCATACATTTTTAAAATTACGCCTTTGGTTTTCAAATAAACTAATAACGGACAATTTGTTTCATCGGACACCATGGTGAAAAGACCCATAAGCAACTGCTTTTTTCACTAAGCATTATCCAACGTACGATCATCACTCATGGCTTCCTCACACGATACTTAAAAGAATATGTGCTCTGGGAGCGGATAGATGAGACATGATTGAAGCCAAAATCACCTTCGAAATTATTGATTGACCGGAAGTTTGGCGCGAAGTTCAATTTGACTTCATTACAAATAATCAGCAACAGGGACGAACATCTCCGCAATTGTTGAAATGAAACAAGCTGGAAGGAAATATGCCGACGGGGATGCAATTGTACCCAAGCGACAGCACAGAAAGGAAGAGTTGAAAAGAAAACTGGTTTATCTGCAAAAAAAAAAATGTTCAAGAAACTGATACTTGGTCTTGTGTACGTGCATCCTTTTCCCTTCATTGAAGATTAGTCGATTGAGGGATTTACGTAGAAGTGGTCTATCTACATGGAACCACTTTTCTTCGCTTTTAAGAAGACGGTCACTAGAATCTTCACTGTTTCCCTTTGGAGCTTGAGAAACTTAAGACAAGTTATGAGCAGCTTGGTGATGGTTGAAACCAGAAGCCCACGTGTGCCCCATCGCTATTGGTGTATTTCGGCAATTTCCTTCCAGTTCTGAATGAAAGGCATCCGAATTTCGTCGTCCATTCAATTGTCGAGTAATGGGAGAGAGCCACCATATTTGTAGGATTCCAACAGTTGAAAATGGGCCAGACCCATTTACTACAAGGAAATTGTAAGTCCAGAATATTTGGGTACGAGATAGGTTTTCCATGAAATGGGAACATGTGGTGTCAACTACTGCAGCTTGGAATAGGTGATTATTGGGTTAAAGAGGGAGTGAGGGAGACTAGAATAAAATGAAATGGAATCTTCCATCTTCTGCTTGACTAACTTCGGTCAGAACAAAGAAATGTCCACATGTAGGAAATGCAATCAACCCCTGACTTTTTTCGTGCTTGATTTCCGCTCAACCTTCTCAAAGCAGACCATAGCTTGCACGTAGAAAGGTCTTACTTCCTGAAAAGCTCCTATGAGGTGTCAATGAAGTAACAAAAACGTAGTCATGTGCAATCTCCGACAGAGAATCTTACTCGGAACGAACTATTCTCAATGTTACAATGCTACATCACTTCTCCGTAAAATTCAATTCACGATTACCCTGATCCGACAAATTACTTTTACGCGAAGACGTAATTCACGAATTTCAAAGTGTATCCTTATGTCTTCTTCATTACTTTAGAGCAGGCTATGAGGAAAGAATAAGGACTATTGGGTCCGAATGAGGATCGCGGATGTGTGGTACCATCACCTTATCGTAGGCGCAGCTCAAGCGATTAGATTTTTTTTTTACCAAAGTTGTTTAGCGGTCGAGTAGCTCCTTCAAAACCATGAATCTGATCATCCAAAAAATGCTCAGCAAAAAATTGCGAGAAGGCGAAAATGCTTACTCAAAGTTTACCCTGGATGCGTGAAAATCCTCTGGAGCAGCGAGTGAAAATGTATATCCGGATGTTCCGCATGCCTTTGACAGCATCATGTCTTGTGTAATTATACCATTAAAAATTTCATTATAACACAGGTATGAAACGGTGAAAATATAAGAAAAAGTTTTTTAACGGAACATCTTGGATATCGTATATTCAAGATAGTGTATAGCCTTACTCAAACGCGCTTGAAAGTTCCACGACAAACTTGGAGTCATTATATATGCAGGCATACAGACAGCTTATTTTCAGGACTTGAACCTCGCCTTTGAGTCAAAGGGGCATCTATACCGTATCGGCATAATTTTACAGTCACTGCCTTATTCTATTTCGGGACATGAATAACGCCTTCATGAGTCAATGGGATATATAATAAGACCTCAAATGCAATTGGAAAACGAGAAGGCATTTGGAATGAAAGGAGAGAGAGAAGGAAGAGGGAGAGCCAGAGTGCGCTTCCTATTTCCAGCCTTCCACCCGATTCCCTAGGTGAGTGACGTCACATTGAAGCAGAAATAATCCACCAATCCCGTGAGAAACGCTTCACCATCAACAGGAGGCGTGTCCAGCCATTTAATGCGAGTTTAATCCGCATGTCGTCTCCAAAGTCGACCGTCGACATTTCGTCTTAACCCCAGAGGAATTCACTTTCGTCATGCCATACAAAATGGCCGACTATATGCAGGCAAATGGGGCCTCGAGCTAACGAGATGGGCTGCCACCTGATAATGATGACATCTTTGCAAGGGGACTCGATATATTTGCAGCTCCTACTTCTGAACACTTCCGGGAATTTTACGCATCTCCGGGGTGTCATGAGTTACTTGAGGAACATAAGCACTACCTCATCTTCCTTTCTAGATGAGATGTTATCATGAAGTTAACGGGGTTCCTGTTCATCAATTATGCCGAACAGCTGAGGAGGGGTTATGGGACTAATGGCCAAGTAGGGCGTGAAAGGAGAACCTCAGATTTCTTTCCACCGACCTTGACGGAGACCCATCAAAACAGAATGCTCCTCAACGGTGAGCTCCAATGAAGTGATTTGGAAAGGATGAATGAGAGACAGTACAGAACTCGGGAAGCCCCCCTCCCCCCACCCTCCTCTCGCTCGCCTTTTCTCTCGCTCTGTATGACTCAGTGTTAAAAGTTGGCATGCCTATAAAAGGCAGCACGAATATAGTAGCAGAATAAGAGAGGGCCAAGAATTCTCTCCTCTCTCACTCCCTCTACCACTCTCACACGCACACTCATACACACACCTACACACGCACACCCAGTCGGTGGTGGGGGTGGGGGAGGAGTTGGTAGAGCAAGAAGTAGCCATAATCCCGGCTGGAGCTCAGTTGAGTTGCGAGCTGCGTCCAGTTCACTCTTCCCCTCCATTCACCAAAGTTGTTTTTCCAAGTTGGTCCCTGTATAGTTCCCTGCAGCCATGTCCTCCACTGTGACAAAGAGCAAATATGTGTACCGGTCCTCTGGTGGTCAAGGATCCGATATTTCCATCGAATATGGCACAGATGTGGGAGCCTTCACCCGACTCGAGGTCTGTAATCACCATTCAAGTTATCCATATAAAAAAAAAACTTGAAATTATGTTTTAGAAAGTTTTGGCACGAGGGAGTAGACGATGATGACATTCTTGGAGGGCTCGATGAAAAAGTTTTTGCTCCCTCCTTTTCATAAACTTGAGGGTCTCCGGAAAGGTTCTCTACAGGTTCTCTTGGACGTAATTCAAATTTTTAATAGCTATTTAAAATTTTTTTTCATACCTATGGTAGTATTGAGTATACGTGGATCCATTTTCCAGGCATATGATGTTCTTCCACAAAAGACACGATCACTGCAGTTGCAGGACCATTCAAGAAGTTGATATGCAGTTCACAGTACTGGAGTAGTACCTCAGTACCTTGTCCATGTTTTACGTCTTCAATTCGAGTTTTTGAAGAATGGGCTGGAACCTTTTGACCGTAGGCATCGGAAGCAGCTTTGTGCAGCTCCCACGGTATTTGTATTCATTAACTTTGAGCGCGACCCTATGCCGCTGTCGCGCTCTACACCTGCGCCAGTCGCCATAATCGTTCTTCAGAAATAATTATTGAACCTACATCTATCATGGGACTTCTCGATATGCCATATCATCAACGCAGGTTTATTTTCTGCAGTGTAAGAAAAATCAAATTCAGGATTTTCTGTTGAAAATTCGCCGTCTGAATTGTTGAATGTCCGTAGTCAGGTGCGTTTACCTCAAAAAGCACATCTCTAAGGAGTCCTTCATGATCATAACCGATAGCAGATATGAGATAAATGTTCTATACTCAGTTATAGGCATTCTTCCACAACATTTTTTGGAGAGGATTGCATACCTCAAGTAGAAACGTCACGCCTGAGCTCTTTGAATTCATAGTAGCACGAGGTCCCTTCCAATTCTTCCATAATCATCTTATGATGGAATAATTGGAAGGAGCGAAACAGAGCAAGAAGGTCTTGGGGGCATTGTGGGCTCCCTCAATGTATTTGAACAATTTAGAATGATCCGAGCAGTTTAAAAATGTTATCGAATAAGATGCAGACATAATACATTTCGTTTGGCAGTTTATTGTATAGTTATGCTGGTGGGAGACTGGTGGACTGAGATTGTGCAACGTAATTGAAGGGCTTAAAGGACAAGTGGTCTATCTGCAAAAAAATGTTCGAGAAAAGTATGGTTGGTTTAATGCACATAGTTCCTCTTTCCTTTCCGTTAATAGGGTAGTTTTTGAGATTTATGTGAGGGAAAAACTGGTCTATATGCGCGTACGACTTTTCCTTACTTTTAAGAAGACGGTCGCTGGAATATTCACTTTTTCCGTGTGCAGCTCGAGAAAAATGGTTAAATTTACAGTTAAAACGTCTCCTTTAAGCCTTTCGCTGATTGATGCAAACGTTATCTGAAGGTATCCCTTCTCTGTTGATGAATGAGCAGTCAATATCCCCTTCTCTCTCATCAGTTTCACGCTGATGTCTGCTCGAGAACAAGCGTGGGAGGGAAGGAATTTGGAGCAGAGTGGGTCTAGTGCAACGAGAAAGGGATTAAAAATAGCGGGGTGGCTCTGCTTTCGTGCAGATCCTTCTCACACCTTGCACAGGTGCGGTCCGTTGGTCACGTTGCCAAGTCCCCTGGCAGAAAAGGAGCTCTCTCTCCCTCTCCTCCCCTCCCCTCCCCAGCCTCCCTTTCTTCACCCACGTACTTTATGTACGAATGCACTGATAAGAAATACTTCAGAAAAAAACCTTCAAGGCTGGTAGACTGGTCCTTCCTACCCGTTAAAAATAATCCGATGGCGGCTGTTTTCAGGAATGTACTAGTAAAAAAAAAATAAAACCATGCATTTTTTTAATAATGCTTATTCTCTTGCTTACTCCACCAGGACAAGATCAGGCTCCTCCAGGAAGATCTCGAGTCTGAACGAGAAATCCGGCAGAGGGTGAGGATCTTCTCTCCCTGAATCTCCAGCCATTCCTCGAGTTGCTCCGCATCTGACTCTCTTTTCTTCGACTCGCTAGATCGAACGAGAGAAGGCAGACTTAAGCGTCCAAGTCATCCAGATGTCGGAGAGACTGGAAGAGGCCGAAGGAGGCGCTGAGAGCCAGGTAATGGTCAAACCGCACGAACTCAACGTCTCTTACCAGCTCCAAAGTGCGATCATGACATCGTCCAAAGAAGCCGTCTAAAACGCTATTGCAATAGAATATTTGCGAAAGGACACATGCTTCTTGGGAAGCACATTGTGAAATGGCGATGAAGACAGCTAAAACTCGTCAGAGTATCTTATAGAAAACATTTTTTGTGATGGCAATATTGTGGTATTTTGGAGTGCCACACGAGTTCGAGAAACTTCCAAAAAATACAATGGTCCTTGAATACTGGTAAAAAATCTTAACCGCTTTCCCGCCATTTTCCGCTTTATTTGTTCCGTCAGTTCCCTCGCAGTATGGCCATATGTTCCAGTGTGATTCATGCTGAAAATATGTAGAATCGTGTCGACGACATATCAATACTAGACTTTTTTCATACCTTACGCAGTCGAAATGTTAACTCAGACGCACTGGAAATCCCTTGCGTTAATGCTGAAATGATTGTGTCGAAGAGGGAGCAGGCGGGTGAGCTTTCGCAGAGTTGGAGAATTCCATTTGGAGGGCCTCAACCCATGCTATGTCTCAGCAATTTGTCACTTCCAGAAGGTGCACTCCATAGGAATCCAAAGTGGTATCGCAGACAGTCTGGGATATGAAAGGCAACTCTTCTTAAACTTTACCGCCAGAAGCAAATGGAGAAGAAAATGTTTTCTTTCTTCAAGCGCACCAATGAGGTATAAGCAAATCCTCCATCATGGATTTCTGCGAGAGACAGTCTTGATTGCATTCCAGCAAAAGGTCTTTCAGGTTCATTTCCAATTGGCTTGATGCATATCGTTATTGAAACTCCGCAGAAGGTTCCAGACCTATGATCATTATTCTTTTCATGCAGAAGACTCATGCCTGAGCAGTCGACGCATTTAAAATCCAATCATGTATATTTTCAGTACATTTTGCATGACGAAACGGAATTCATCCCTTCGAATGCCCGCGGAATGCACTTTACGAGAGGTGGGAATGATGACGCCTGGGAATTCGTAAGGAAGGGACTTTCCCTTTTCTTCCTCCACCCGTCAGCTGGTGCCCGTTGAAGTATCTGTACTGGTTTACGACACCGTACTGTATCGATAGCATGGTATTTAGGGCATAGAAAAAATATAAACGACTTTTAACCTTTGATCTCACTGAAGCTGTTTTCGCAAACCTTGCACTAGGCATATGGCGTGTTGCCAATAGATATTTAAGGTTTCATCCAAACCTGTTCCGCTAAAGCAATGTTAGTTATTCTGTCATTTACGATTTGTTTGTTTTCATGCTTGCTGCTATTTATCTTTGAGGTCAGGCAAACAAAGATTTTCTATACTGGTATCTTCTCGAGTCAATCTAGGATGATATATCAAATGCTATGACAACTGTCTTAGAAATATATTAACTTAGGAATTTTAATTTTCAAAGGGAAAATAGCCTAAATATACATTTCCCTCAAGCCTTATCCAGTAAAAAGCTTGATGCAGGATACTAGACACGTTATTTCAGCTTTAGGGACCTGAAAATATGTGTTCCTTTCCTAAGCATTTCATTCTACAGAACCAGAAGGGAGGTTTCTCCGTTTGCATTTCCTCTCATACAAAGTACGGGCAACCCTAGAATGAATAATAGGTTTGTTCAACGCTGATTTCGGTATCCAAAGTAAATATCTGCCCTCGCTCGCCACAGGTGCTTCAATATGCGGAAAACGTTGAGGAAATCATAAAGCAATATAGGAGAGACATGTCCACCACACGATCTTCCATTTTAATAATAATCGTTTCACAGAATGATCTAAAAGCTTCAGATTATGACAAAAATGTTAAATATAGGTTTTCTCTATTTTGTCAAGTATTGATTGCTTGTTTCATCAATATTGAGACTAGAAATAGAGCTTCTTCCCAGCAAATTCTCCCCGGAAACATGATTTATTCAATGGGTATAAATGATGAAGTTCCGCTCATGTCAACAAAGCCCGAATGACTGCAAAAAAATATCATTTCCTCCAGAGAGATATTCTAGGATTTAGATATAAAGGGGCAAATTCTGTCTTGCTGGCCGTTGGGTTAGGATGTTGGCGAAGAAATCATTACCTTTACGATTCCTCGGTAGAAACCTCTGTGATTTTACATTTGTCTATGTGCCCATGATCATGCTCTCCGAATATGTCTGCCATAAATAGGGAGGGAAAGGTTGAACAAGAAGAGTTATCGACGAAAGACATGTTTTACAAAATATGCTTCCAACTGTCTAAGAGAATTTAGGCATATGGCTTATGCCTCAATATACCATCATCTAAAACTCTCTAGTAAATATTTTAATCAGAATTTCCCAAGTTCAAGCTTCCTTTTTACTAATCGATTGAGTTAAGAGTAAAAATGTCCTCATGCGAAAAGCATTAGCTTTATGTTCACCCCTCTATTTAAAGAATAGCTTGAAATAAAGTGAAACGTGAAGCCGAACGAAATCATGAGCAGACCAGAAAAAAAGCGCCTTATGACTTACATGGACATTCGTTGAGAATGACTTTAAAATCCTCATTTCCATTCATAAGAATTTTCCTATCGAGCTAGTTTTGTCAAGTAACAGGTGAATCGCAATGAAATAACTACATTCGCGAAAAGTCGGGAAACTATCTCAATAAAGCGTGAAAATGAAGGGGGAAAAGATGATGGTTATCCCATTACTTATTTATGACCTTCATGAAAGACAAGTTGTGAAAGAATCAGAGTGGACTAAGCACAGCATGACGACGTCGAAGGTGGATTCAAAGCCTAATTTAACCGCATTAACTCATTTCATTGTTGAGGTGCTCTCGAACGATACGTCCGACTAATCATTCCAACATTTCTTCATATAAACTAATGAAGCGGCTTTTGTTTCGGTCCATGTTATGTACATTGCAAGTACATAGTGCCAATTGACTTCTATTACCCACCCGAGTAGTAAGCATTTGATAATATCAGGTGCAAAATGGGCACTTTTTTTGTGCAGACAGCACTTTTTGCCCACGACAGTTCAGTTTACTTACAATGCACGATCGGCTAATAAGCAATGGGAAATTCGCAACTCTCAATCGCCTCTTTTATCCGAAAGAGAGATCCAAAGCTGAATTGACTATTCCAAGGTTTATGCAACATTCCATTTGCAGGTATCAAAGCTGGCGTCTTGCCCATTGTCCCATCGAAACTACCAGAGAGACATTGTTCTTATCATGACATGACATGACATGACACGACAAGATTGTCTTTCTGATGTTCTTATTTAAGACCTGTATGCAGAACCAACCATCCCATAAGCCATTTAACCAAGTTTGAAAGCAAAAAAAAATGAGCTTCGTATGGATTTGAATCCCCTATTTGCGACACCAATCCTGAAGCGTAGGGGTTATTCATACGTGTGTTTCAGGTTAGTTACCGAAAGATAATAAATCTTTTAACGGCCCTTTTTTTTGGAAGACTTTCGAAGTAACTTTATTCCTTCGCTTTTAGCTGCCATCAAAGTAGAACTGTCCCTTTCTTTTCACTTCTTCCATATATCCATAACATGAAGAAGGAACTTTTATCAGTTGGTGAATCGGGACGAGAGGACTACTCCTCTGCCGACACCTACAATCTCCTTCGTCGCTCTCAAAATTGGGAAGCCCAGACTGTTTCCAAAATAATTTTGTTCATGTCTTACTTTCACTCGTCATTCGTCGTTTCGCTCAGACTTTTCATTCCGTATATTGCTTTCGTAAAATGGAAATACGAGCTTCACAAAGTTTCAGCATTATATTAAATCATAAAAAATAATGGAAGTGATGCATCCAATTTCAAAGGGTCGTGCTTGAACACGATGGAGGATACCATTTGCTTCAGAAGCTATATCACATATATAATTCATTTTAAGGGGTTCCTACTTGGGGAATCCTTATGTTAGGAAATTCTTATGTGCAATTTCTGCATCCCAAATCCAAGGAACCCTTTAACTAAGGCACCCATAAGAGCTTAAGGGCTCCATTGCTCTGTTCTGCATTTGCGCCTAAATCACCTGATTGCTATTCAAGCAAGTTCATGTGTCCTGATGCTCTCTTACCGACAGTGAAATTTATGGAAAATAAAAGTTGTTTTTCACAGAATGTTGTTTTAAATGTCATATCCTGTAATGCTGTCATTCATTTGTTTACAGTTTGAGCAAAACAAGAAGCGGGATATGGAACTGGCAAAACTACGGAAGCTTCTCGAAGATGTGCACATGGAATCAGAGGAAACCGCACATACGTTGCGGAAGAAGCACCAGGAGGCCGTACAGGACTTGCAAGACCAACTTGATGCTGCCATCAAGTCCAAAGCCAAGTAAGACCTTATTCACTCCAGGGCATGGCGACTAAAAGTCAAATTTGATACATCTCGGCGTTTCTTCATCTCATGGAAAGGGTGGAGAAGGAAAAGAACAAGTTCCAGCAGGAGATCTACGAGCTCCTGAGCCAACTCGATGGGGCCAACAAGGACAGGGTGAGAGTCCGCAATGGAGTTTCGATTATCCCTCGTGGGAAAGGATGATTTCCAACACTTGGCATGTTCACCTCTTTTCCAGCTTGTAGCCATGAAGAACTGTGAGAAGTTGGAGATCACAGTTCATGAGCTGAGCATTAAGGTGGAGGAACTAAACCGCTCCATCATTGACATAACATCTATCAAAATCCGCCTCTCTCAGGTATTCTTTTCATTTATTTATATTTTAACATTTTTTTTGTTGATCACCTACAGTGTCAATAAGGAGAATAGGTCTAAGCCTCACTCCTTGTTCCGAACAGGAGAACCTGGAACTCATCAAGGAGGTTCAAGATCTGAAGGTGTCCATAGAAAATGTCCAATACCTCAAATCACAACTCGCCACTCAACTGGAAGACACCAGACGAAGACTCGAAGATGAAGAACGAGTGAGTGGGGAAAGCTGAAATCTCATCTTGTTCGAATTGAGATCTCTAACAGTACATGACACCTTTGCTGGGGTTTTTTCTCCTTTAGCGACGTTCGACCATGGAGAACCAATTGCATACCGTAGAAGTAGAGCTGGAAAGTGTGAGGGTGCAGTTGGAAGAAGAAGCCGAAGCTCGATTGGATCTTGAGAGACAATTGTCGAAAGCGAATAGCGATGCCATGGCATGGAAGTCGAAATACGATGCTGAAGCTGCTGCACGCCAAGAAGAAGTTGACGAACTCAGGTCAGGATCAGATTTTTCTCCCCCCTCTCTCCCTTTCCTTGAATTCTAACAAGAACGATCGATTGATTGCAGGCGCAAATATCAGGCCCGAATCGCAGAATTGGAGGAGCAGATCGAGGCATTGATGGCAAGATGTGCAGGGCTGGAGAAGCAGAAATCACGCCTTCAATCAGAGGTCGAGGTGCTCATCATTGACCTGGAGAAAGCAAATGGAACCGCTCGGGAACTCCAGAAGAGAGTGGATCAGGTGGAACGCCTCAACGCAGACTTGCGATCGAAACTGGACGAACTGGGCGCCCTTTACGAACAGGCCCAGAGGGAACTCCGAAACAAATCCGCTGAAATCACCCGATTGACTCATGAACTGGACAAGACCAGGGAGCACAAGGAACAGCTTATCCGTGAAAACAAGAAACTTTCAGGTAAGGTCGTTGTGTCCACCCAGTTTCTTTTCCGTTAACGGAATCGTTAATAAATTCACGATTAATTTTCTCATTCAGACGACCTACACGAAACGAAGGCTCAGCTGTCCGAACTGAATAGAAGGTATCACGAATTGGAGCTCGAATGCAAGCGTCTCGAGAACGAGAGAGAGGAACTGAGCGCTGCATATAAGGAAGCTGAAGCTGTGAGTTCGGCAAATATTTGATGAAAGCAACGAGAATGTTGTAAGATACTGACAGGAAGCGAAAAATGCTCCTTGTGCTGCAGGCTCGCAAGATGGAAGAAATGCGTGCGCAAAGGCTGGCAGCTGAGATTGCTCAACTCCGTCACGACTACGAGAAGAGACTGCAAGAGAAAGAAGAAGAACTGGATTCCATCAAGTGAGTTGCCTTCAAATTGTCCCTTCAGGGGTCGGATCTTCGATCGTTCGAACTCCTATGCATCATGCAGAGGATTATATGCAAGGGCAAGGGCAAGGCTTATGGCTTTGGATTCTGATCGAGAGGTGGCGTTGGGGACGAGGGGCTATTTCCGTCTCGATTTCCCTGGCACCTGAGCTGAGTTGAAAATAAAATTCGAAGGGACTCCGAAGTCCATTGGCGAAGCGGAAAGGAGGAGTAGTGCCATAGATCCAAAGGGTTATCTGGAGATCATGGCGAGTGTTATATTGAATTCCGTGCCAGTGTTCAACCCATTCGGCTTTGGTTTCGTCCCTTCACCTCGCCCACATTTACCTCCGCTTCGACTCTATTCCGACTCGGATCTCCAAGACATTCTGACCAATCTCAGAGAGTATGGGGAAAATTCAAAGCGCCCCCGATCGCATTCCATCTTCTCAACCGTGGTTCAGAAGGAAGAAACCTTCAGGTGAAGTTGACCATTCTGAGCTTCTGTTAGCAAGGACTGCGTCATATTGTCTTCACAAAGCTTACGAAGTCAAAGTAAACATAGGAGTCTCGGATCCAGTTGAGATGAAATCAGTCATCTGAATATTCACTTTTAGGATTATTTTTTTCATGTTACGGGAGGTTTGCAGGAGAGATGGAGGATCGATATGTGATTTACTGCAATCCTGAGCTTGGGTACCCATTCTCCATTTTCCCAGCGTCTATCTGCAACCGGAAATAGAGACGCATTCTACATCACCCTGAAGTGTGTAGACTTACAAGCCAAGGGCGTCGCTAAGGTGTAAGAGTTGGAGAGAAGGGAAACGGCCTGACTATGTGGATGGATAGTAGACGATCCTTTTTCAGTTTGTTTGAAATTCGGTTATCTTTTTAATTCTCAGCTGTAATCTGATAGCAACTTTTCACACGGAATCTGGTGATTTTTTTTTTCGTTTTGCCGAAATCTGGCAAACCTTATGGTTGGGGAAAGTCTTATGAGTTCTTTCGTTACTTCTCTAATGACTCTTTATTTACGTAATTGAAATCTGACAGCCTTTGTCCAGACCAGACACAAACTTAGGGAAGCATGTCCACCTCCAGTGACGTCCCTGCTGCAAGCCCTGATTAGACCTCTCGAAGATTCCCTCTCGGCTGATGTTGCAGTCCATAAAATGAGCCTATATTTCTCCATTCGTGGAAAACTCTCGATCTGCGCAGAATATGGGCTGTGTTCAGGCTAAATTAGACCTATAGTTAGAACCATAACGTCTGATTGATCCAGCCGGCGGCAGCGAATCGATATGCCTGCCCTTGCAATCGGATTATCGTGTCTGCTCTTGTATAGGGTAGGATCACAATGATTCTTCTAGATGGAACGATGAGAGGATCATGTGTACAGAAAATGGTATGCAATTTTCTTGCATAAGGTATTCTCATAACATGTACACTACATTACAGTACACGCATCATTCCCGAGATCCTGGTAGACACCATATCCTTCTTCCCCTACTTGGATCAAAATAGGCAATACCCTTGAATGAGGCAATAAATATAAAAGAGAATCCTTCAACCAATAAAAAGAAACATAATAGGAGCGATCAGATTAAACGAGCGTGGAGGCTGAGGTGTGCATGATAATGTGCAAAAAAAAAGTTAAGAACTGGAAAATGCGGAATACTTTATTTCACATTCAGTTTCATCACAACTACGCTAACGCATAGAATATTGCGTTTTGTCAAAGGAGGCGATCGCTGCAGCAGATCTTATAATCATTTCTGGGTTCTGTACAAAACCGTAAATATGAAGTGAAGGTTGCTTCAACTGAAGACTCCGCTCCTCATTGAGAGACGCTTCGATAATCTTGGGTTTAAACAGAAGGTTCCATGATTCCTCTCAGCGGGAGAGATTAACTATTTCAGAGAAACTTTGAAAGCTGTTGATCTCGGGATATCCAAATGAGATTTTATCGGGAATAAATGCGGATTCAAGACGCAGCATTTGCGCAGATTGTGCGTAGTACGATATTCATGCAGGAAAAGGCCACAACTTCTGGTGTATGCCTTTTGCACACGACAAAATTGTAACAAGGATATTGGGAAGGGGTGAAGGTGCTCCTGATAAAATCATGAATAAATTTCTTTTGGTACAGAAAAATTATAGTTATTTACAGAGAAATTCAGCCTTAAAGAATGGCTTTTGTCGCATCAGTGGGTATTCACATCTGCGAATGGTAAGTTTTCCTCTGAAAAATCTAATTTTTAGTGTTAAGAGATATTGATGCCGGGCGTTTAATTGTTACAAAATTAAAGCTAGCACTGTTAGAGTAAGTAATTTAACAGCTTGGTGCATACAATGGTGTGCAATGTAGTTAGATTAGAGTTTTTCCGCAATTCTTCCTGCACCTGTATGAGAAGGGATTTAAACAGGAACTAGAGTGGGTGAGGAAATCCCCAATCCTTAAATAAATAATATTGTGCCCATCCCTAAGCAATCGAAGTCCAGCCTCCATTCACTGACGACCTGACTGATCACTCGGGCTTTTGGTCTATAGGAAGCAGATGAGCATCGAGATCGAGCAGCTGAATGCCCGTCTGGCAGAGGCTGAGGTCCGTCTTAAGACGGAAGTGACCCGAATCAAGAAGAAGATGCAGGTCCAGATTACGGAATTGGAAATGTCGTTGGATGTCGCCAACAAGAACAACATCGAACTCCAGAAGACCATCAAGAGGCTCTCCCTTCAACTCACGGTAAGTTTTTCCCTCTCTCCACCAATATTTAATAACCTTTCTTGAACCCTAACGAGCTGTTCCCCGATCCCGTGTAGGAGATGCAAAACCACTACGACGAACTGCAGAGACAGCTGCAGGTGACTTTGGACCAATATGGTATCGCTCAGCGACGGGTACAAACTCTCACTGCCGAACTGGAGGAGATGCGTGGCAACTTAGATGCCGTGCGTTTATTTTTCTGTCGATTTCTTTGTCTCATCGTTCCTTGACTTTGATTTCAGCCGACGTTCGCGGGTGTTTTTTTTTTTTTTCCTTTCAGGCGATGCGGGCCAGGAGGAACGCAGAGCAGATGTACGAAGAGGCTAACAGCCGTGTCAACGAACTGACCACGATTAATGTGAACATCTCGGCTGCCAAGAGCAAGCTGGAACAGGAGTACCAGGCTCTCCAGGGAGACTACGATGAAATCGGCAAGGAGCTCAGGGTCAGTCACTCCTTCGTCCTTTCCCCGGCGGTCCATCGTAATAAAACTTGAGATTCTAGAACATGAATGATGATGGTTGCAGATGGCAGACGATCGGGCACAGAAGGCTCAGGCAGAACTGAAACACACTGTAGACATTTTGCACGAGGAGCAGGAACGAGTCGTAAAGATCGACTCGATCAAGAAGAGTCTGGAAGTGGAGGTGAAGAACCTGAGCATCCGATTGGAGGAAGTCGAGGCCAATGCTCTCATTGGAGGCAAGAGGATCATCAGCAAGCTCGAGGCCCGGGTATTCTTTCGTATTCCTTTCTATTTTTGCGCTTCCAGACATGGAGTACCGACGGTAATCAAAATCTTTTTGCTTCTCTCATCTGGTCAGATGCGTGATCTGGAACTGGAATTGGACGAAGAGAAACGTAGACATGCAGAGACGGTGAAGATCCTCCGTAAGAAGGAGAGGCAAGTGAAAGAGATAGTAATACAGGCGGAAGAAGATCACAAAGTTGCTCAAATGCTCGGTGAAAGTCTCGACAAGATGAACGAGAAGGTCAAGATGTATAAGAGACAGCTCCAAGAGCAGGTTCGTTTCATCCTTGCCTCTCTTCGAAGAAATAAAACACACTCCTAGTCCTATTACCCCATATGTCTGTGCTTGCTAACGCACCATGTATGCGGGAATACTATTTTCTGTTTTCCATTGCCTCACAACTTAAATAAAATGTAAAACCAACGGCTTATCCTTTGAAAAGTATTCTCGTAAAAAAAAAGCAAAAATTCTTATGAAATAGATTGTGTATGGGAAAAACTAATAGAGAAATGGGAGTGCCCATGGACTACCAGTCGGCCCGATTGGCCCGATCCGATCCAAAACGACCTGCCGACCGTCTCGAGATGAAATTCTGGACATTTCCCTTTAGTCGAGTCGGATCGAGCAAGGAAATTGTGCCGTAATTTTTTATTTTGTCTCTGACTAATTCTGATCAGAATATAATTTTTGACTGAACACCCTCTCTCCGCCAACCGGGAGTTGAGGAGATAGCTCGCATCAGCAGCCAGCTCATGGTACACATATATCTAGCGCCGGTCCTGCTCCATGTACTTTCCATGCCTTTCCGAAAAAAGCGAAAGCATGGACTTAAAGTTATTTTTCTCGTGTCGGGTCGGGTGCGAGCCAAAATCTGAATCGGGCTGATTGGATCGGTCTCTGAAAATTGGCCCGCGCAGGACTCCAAAGCATAGAAGGGATTTCCACTCACCCCAATCCCACCAAGCTCACAGAGCAATCTATTGAAGGGCTCTTTTCATTCCTTACTTCCCGGAAATTCCCTCTATATCATAACTTTTTTTGGCAGGAGGGGATGTCTCAGCAGAGCGTCACTCGAGTGCGTCGGTTCCAGAGGGAACTGGAAGCAGCAGAGGAAAGGGCGGATACGGCTGAGTCTAACCTCAGCTTGATCAGGGCCAAGCATCGAAGCTTCGTCACTGCCATCCCAGGAGGCACACAACAAACTTACGTCGTTGAAGAGCACCACACCACCAGGGAAACCTATTAAATTTGTCACCAACATACACTTTGCATGATACACTGCACTTGCAAGAAAGGGCATATTCATGCTCCTTCCTCACTCTTGTCTCCTCCTTTTATTTGCCTGTCTCTTTCGACTACGTCTGCTCTCTTTGTCTTCTTTTTCTGAATCGTCTCCAGTTTGTAGTCGTGAACATGAGGAGAATGCGCGAGTGCGTACGTTTTGTCTGATTTCTACCTTTTTTCAGGTGAGAGAGAACTTAAGGACTGAAGCACAGAGGTTTTGTTGTGTACTGTGTGAATGTGTCGAATTTTTCTTCTGCTCCTTCCTACCTTTCTCCATAAAGTGTTGAATCTTGAATTCCCTCTCACCTGAAGCCAAGTCAGATCTCTCCCTGAAATCATGGCTGGGGATTTCAGGGAGAAAATCGAAACGGCTGAGCGGCTTCCTCTCCTTTTTCACTCACTCGTTCTCATTCTCTTTTTTCTTATCTGTTTTCATCAGAAACTAACTAGTAATGTAATCTTATCTCTCCTTTTTTGCTGGGTTGATGGTGCTGCTCCTGCTCTGTGTGCATTGTAGATGGAAGAATGATGATGAAAAGAATGATGTTGCGAGAAATGGATGAGGTTGCAGACTTTCCCACAACAACTCCGCGGGCAGCCTTTGCTCTCTACTTTCCGTCTCCTTTTTCCCTCTCTTCAATTGACGTCATTGCTCTTCGTTGCTTGCTGCATGGTCCTTCTTATCATACTATGATATATAGGGGAAGAGATATGTGAAACAATAATAAAAGAAAATCATCTTCCAAAGTTATGGATGGTGAAAGAAGTCGCTCTTTCATGTCTTATCTGAATCAGGAGTCGCTAAGAGCTGGAAAGCCGAAATGACGATCCTCATCCCCGATGGAAGGAGGAGGAAAGAAGCCACGCCTAGTGGGAAGATGTGGCTTTCAGATGAAATCATCGCCAATGGCATGAAAACTTGAGACGAGAATGGGCAACTTTCCAGGTTTATTGCCGCCTGAGCCCTCCGCCACCGTTCACGTTTTTCCGAACAGCTTCAAGGACGTTCCAAATTTCCATTGGCCCTTTCAGAACCCTCACAATTGTTCAATTAATGGACATATGACATTGGTGCTGCTCGTGACCAGAAATAACTCTCAGGAATAACTAGTTAGTACATCTCTCAGCAAGGAGGACTTGGATGAAAAACGCCAACCCGAGTCTTAAATAAATTATTACTAGCGGCCTGCGGCCGCTACGCTGGCCGTCTCATGGGTGGAAATTTGAAACTTTTTACATAAAGATATGAAGTAGTTCGGTTCAAACCAAAGTTGTATGGCCTAACTCAGTGGTTCTTAATCCCTGGGTCGCGACCCAAAATTGGGTTACCAACCCATTTTGAGTGGGTCGCCAAGGGTCTCCAGTGACTGTCCGAACTTTCACATATCATTTATCACAAGTGATCTGTTTGAGGGCATTGGTCGCCGAGACAGCTCCGCGACCGGAATTTGGGTCGCAGCCAAAAAAAGGTTAAGAACCACTGGCCTAGCCTATGGCCTAGAATGGCATAGCCTTGTAAGCCGTCGTGTTAGGCCGCTGATGGGTGACAATTACTCACCACCGCTTTCGGCCTCGTTCGATTTTTATGGCTTAGCCCATGGTCCAGAATGGCAGAGCATTGTAGGCCCAACGCGTTAGGAGTGATGGTCATCTCAACTTTCGGCCTCTTTTAATTAAAGTATTAGATTAGATATAAAGCAAAGAAAAACACGAGGCTTGCTTTCAGAGTTGCGAGAAAAAGAACTTGCGAGGTAAACTGATCCTCTTTTAGGATTGTTTAATTCTCCAGACCCACCCTTAACGATTTTATCTTCTACACCTTGGGAACCCAATTCACGGACAGTGGCGTAGCGTCGGGGGGGGGGGGGGGGGGGGGCGCCC